ATTGACTTAATTGTCTTATTTAAATGTTATTTATTTTTTTAAATTGCTTGCTTATTTGAGTTAACTGTTTTAATTATTTATTTGGCTTTAATTTCATTAAATTGTGTTATTTGATTAATTACCTGATAGAATTGTTATTAATTAATTGTTTTCATTTTTGAATTTATTTACTTATCGTAAGTTAGGTTTAAAATTTACATGGGTAGCCGACGTTGATTATAACCTAGGTACCTATGGGCCGAGTTATATCTTTATGGACTTAGGGTTATCAGGATTCACCTATAAATATAAGCAATACGGTGGTTTAGGGTTTTATAAAACTAAGTCAAATTCTGTAAAAACAGAGAGACCTTGGATACAGAGAGCAACTGAATCTTTTGTGAGACAAAATACAGAGAGAACCTTAAAAGATTAAAAAAGGGATTCAAGGAGGAGTTCGGGACTGAATTAGGAGCAGCAGAGGTAGTTTAGCACAACCGACGTTGCCGGAGTTGATACAGACGACAGTTAGAGATTTTAATCTAAAGTCTCAAAGGCAAGTCTCTGTTTTTCTCTATCCCTTTAATCTGTGTTCTGTGCATGCTTAGGAAGACTCCAGGGATTGAACTAAGTTTTAATTACATCTTTTAAACATGTTTAATCAGAATATTGAAGCATTGAATAAATCTGGTATCAATTGTTTTCACAGTTTAGTGTTGAATCTTGTTGTCGTTGCTTTAAAAGTTGATGTTTAATGAAATTCTAAGTTGTATAATTCTACCATGTGATCAATCTGGGATGAGGATGGAACCTTAATACATGTAATATAACTGTATTTAGTGTCTGGAAACCACCGGGGTCGGAGAAGACAAGTAGTACAGGGGAAACGGCTCTTAAGGGTGTGAGAAACGACTCTCAAAAGGAGGGAGCCGCCTCCCACAAAGCTAGAGCCGGCTCTCTAGGGTTGAGAGCCGGCTCTCAACAGCCTAGAGCCGGCTCCCAAGGGTGGGGAGCCGGCTCCCCTTGAATGGAGAAGGCTCTCCAAGTTTCAGAGCCTTCTCTCTTTTTTGTTTTTGCGCGTACTGAGTTTTAATGGACTGTTTGGCTGAGACTGAGTTTCTGAAATTGTTTCAAGGCTACTGAATGATGTAATACACTGCTTAAGACTTATATATGAATTGAGAAGCAAGCTTATATCCAGGAATTTGGGATGGAATTAGCCTAGGTTTCAAAATAAACCTGTATGGGGTAAGGTTTGACATAAATTGGTAATTACTCATTGTTTTAGTAAGTTGGTTTCTCTGCATGTCTTAGGATTATAAATCATGTTTTGCAGCTGTGTTATAAGCATACTTTTGTTTAATAATAAGCATGCTTAGTGGGGATTAACTGATGATTAAATCTGTTATAAATTGTATCTGTTATGACACTATTCGGAGGAGTTACGTGTATAGTTTTATTTTGCCATATTAATGGACGGTATTTGGGATTCAAATTCTTATATTGGATGCATAAATTGGTTATATATATGTTAAACTGTATTTGTGCTTGTTCTAGGAGTGGTTGATAACTATTCAATACTGTATTATCAACCGTATTAACTGGAGGATGGTATGTGCTGGTATGGGACGAGGACATACTAGATATGGACTAGATTAAATACTAAGTCCTATCTAACATGGATTAAGGTATGGATTAATCATTATAGGTTAAGTCCATCACCTACTTGTGTCATATCAATTGAGAATTGAATGACCTACTATGGTTTCAGGATGGATTGGTTATACATATATCGGACCACTACACAGATGGATGGTATTTTGTATTAGGAGGAGTACGGACTTTATATATATATTATATGGTGTCGTGGTATGAGCTTGAGTCTTATAACCATGGTTAGGGCGCGTATATCGCCTAGGATGGATAACTGGACATAGGTGTTGTTCCTTGGTAGGTCTAAGTACTCATGCGCACCTTAGGGTGCGTATTCGCATGTTGCCTTCTATTCAGGCTGAGACAGACCTACTGGACTAGCGAGCGTCCTATAGTGTGTACTATATACTTATATGGACTACTCTAGATATTGTTGAGTCTTCCTAGGATGTATCTGCGTATCGGATTACTGTTTGGATTGTAGTAGATCAGGACTTGCATGTGGGCCTGACCCACTTCTTTATTTTTCAGGTGTTCGTCAGTTCCAGGGTTAGAGCTTGGACGTGCAGAGCAGATACAGATATTCATTCCTCCGACTATGTAGGAATCTCCTTTATGTTAGCTTTGGTCTTTATTTCTATTATTTTCAGTTCCGGTTTGAGAATCTTTAATAAGGGGTCCAATGGATGGATTCCCAAGTTGTAAACCTACGGGGTTTGGATTTAACGGATTTTAAATAATTATATTATTTTAAGGATTTTCAATTAGCATTCTTTCAGCTTATTATTTTTAATTCTTATTTTATCTTGTATTCTGTGTTCGATTACATATTAATTGTTTGACATCCCTCGGGTTTGGGCCTGGGCCTGATCAACCCGTGTCTCAGATCCTAGGGGTATCACATTTTGTGTGTCGGAGCGCCTTGTGGTTGTAGCTTTGGGGCAATTGTCGTGCTGATGGCCAGACTTTTCGGTCTCTCTAGTTTGCTGTTTTCTCCCATGGTGGTTCCGTTTGCAGAGTGTTGGGCTCTGTTTCCTCCACAAATCTGGAGCCTGTTCTTTATTTATTTGCTTTGCTTCACGATTTGTATGCCTTTTCTGGCTTGGCTTTATGCCTCTATACTGCCATGTTAGCTTTAGGCCTTTGAGCCTTTGAATGACAAAAACAAAAAAAATTATTATAAGGATGATGATGTGGTGCGCATGATGACAAACACTAAACCAAAGTACTATATCGGTTTTAATATATGTCCACTTTACTTGAGTAAATTAATCAACCATCCGGTACAGGGATGGTAATGAGACGGGATAGGGCGGAAATCTCATTCCTCATTTTTATTTCCGGTTAAATTTTTTACCCTCATTTTTGCTCTCGTATTTGTTTAATTTTCAACCCCCTCCCCCATCCCCGCCACATTAGCCCCCGTCCCCATATAATATTTTTTAAATTCCAATTCACTTTCAACAAAATCAACACAGGCATAATATTTTTCAACCTAATAATTTAATAAAGCTTCAGCACAATTATACAATTTAAAACATGATCAGATATTTAATGTACAACAATTATGTTTTTCTTCTATGCTACGAGGGAATAGATCTAGTGTTTTACTTTCAGAAGTAAATATATTATACATATAGTTGTGTAATTTAGTAATATTTTATAACATGTAAGGGCAATTTTATAAAAATGCACTATAAACGGGTGGGGCGGGGTTACCCTCCCCCCGCCCCCTCCCCTCCCCTCCCCGTTAAGGTTTCAAATACAATCTTCATCCCCTCTCCATTATCATAGTGTCTTTGTTTCTTCACTGTTTTCTTGGAATCTTTTAGGATTTGATTGTATTAAGAGCTAGTATGTCTATGTGGGCATGTTTGGTTTTGTTTTGTTTTATGGGTAATTTTCTGGTATTGAGAAGAAAGAACTAGAAAATTGTTTCAAAAAACACTTGGTTGCGACTATTGTATGAAAAACTGTTCATTTCAGAATGTTATTGTTAGATTGACAAGTTATGTAACAAATTGAATTTGTAACTACATGACAATAATATATTAAAGAATTAACAATAATAAAAATGTGTTACACTATCAATGATTTTGCAACGTTCTAGTGCGATTTAATATATTACACGGATATTATATTCTCAAAATAAATGTATTGCATAAATTTTTTATTTTTTCCCCCTAATTTATTGCATGAATCTTTACATCAATATTTTATGATTGTTGCATCTGAATTTAAAGTGAATTGGATTATCCTTGCACTGAAATTGATTCTTCAATTGCGAACTTTGTAAAGAAAAATGAAAATTTCTGACATAAAAAACATCATGTCTTCTATAAATAAAATTTTCCCTATAATTATGATAAATTTTGAAAGAGATTGGTGTAATTCACATCTGTAATTCCTTGGCAGGTCTTCACCTTTTTTAAAAAAAAAATATACATATATTTTAGGGCAAATTTCTCAAAACCCCCAAAACTATTAAAAAGTGATCATAAAACCCCAACCAGTTTTTAAAACCCCCAACAATATAACAACGTTATCATTTTACCCCAACTCTGTCAATTGGCCCCGTTTACCCAGCGCGTGATTAACAAATGCTTTGACAAATTAACTTTTGTGACGAAAATACCCCTGCTGTCACATGTACCAAAGAAGTGATGTGTATTTAAATGTGTTATACCGAAAATACCCCAAAGCTTGTAATTGTAAAAACACACCCACAGTGTCATCGTTTTAGTTCATCTTCTCTCCTCCATGCGTGAGTTTGAGGAAGCCCTAAAAGCCACCATTATTTCATACATTATAGAAAGCAGTGGAAGCGATTATGATAATTACTCGGGTCATCGAAATGCAAATCGAGTTTGGTGTCAAATTCGAATCGAGAACAAGGGAACAATTTGTTGGTGAGTCTATTCAGAGGGGATTGTCTCTACATTTGTGATTGGCTTGGTTGTGTGCACACTAAAGAGAAGCGAAACTGGTATGTACGATATTCATGTGTGTGGATCAGTTGATCTTGCAACGGCATCGTGAGGAGGAGGAAGATGCATGTGGAGAGAGTGTAGGATTTGGGGGAGTTTTCGATTTGGAAAGAAAATTGGATTTTAGAGAAGAGAGAAGAGGTAACGGAGGACTCGTGCAAGGATAACCAGCTGATGAGGCTTAAGGTCTCGCACAATTGAAGCATGCTTCCTAACTGAATACCTACAAAACCAACAACACAAAATTGAAACCCTAATCAGACCCAAAACAATTCAATGCCCACAACACAATTGAAACCCTAATCAAACTTAAAAGCTAATCAATCAAAAATGACAAACAATTGCAATGAAATCAACAAACCCATAAACCAATTCATCAAATTAGCTACTACCCAGTTGGAGATTCAGCATCAAATCGTAATTCTTATACCCTTTCGATATAGTCTGACCCAGTTTACTCACTTCCCCGGTAAAACAACATGGACCCTTTCGAAACTGGTTAACCCCATCACGATCCGACTTAGAACCATCTCTGTAAAGCATCGAAGCCTCTATATTATCGATTATATCGCAAGTGATATCACCAGCTTCACCATCGGATTCCCAAATACAAATCCTTGAAAAATTCCTCTCCGTCCAGCTCCCTCTGGAAGTGTCCACCGATGACCTTTTCTCCATCGCCGTCCTGTTCGTCGCCACCACCAACCTGCAACTCTCATCCATCAATGGAATTAACAATTTCTGATTCACGTCACCTAGAGAGGAAGAGCAACGTTGGATCAAAGAGGCTAACGTGTATTTGTATCTTCTGTAATGGAAGGTCATCCATGGCTGCTATACGAGAGAAAGAGAGAGAGAGAGGAGTGAAATTTGTGCGACGTCGTTTGAATTTAATACTGTAGAGGATAATATTGTAATTTATAAAATATGATTTTTTTTGTTTTTTAAATAAAAGAGAATATAATAAGGGTAATTTAGTCATTTCACATACCCTTAACTGCCAATTGACAGAGTTGGGGTAAAATAATAACGTTGTTATATTGTTGACGGTTTTAAAAACTGGTTGGGGTTTTATGATCACTTTTTCATAGTTTTGGGGGGTTTTGAGAAATTTGCCCTATATTTTAAACCAAATACTTCACTTATAAATTACGAATATCAATTGAAATTAAAATAGTTAATCAAACTAAACACAATATCAATTGGCTCAACTTTTAAAGTAGAAGATTTTTTAAACCAATTCTTCAACGACGATAGGGTGGAGTTAACTCTCTCATCTCTCTCCCACAAACACTGAATATTAACATATATATAAACCCGCCATAATGAGGGCGGAGTGGGGTGGCGACCCGCCGGGTATGAGAATTTTGTAAAACCCGAAAAAAGTAAAAAAAAAAAAAAAAATAGCTTCAAACAAAAGCGGGTGACATCTACATATGTCTTTGCTGCACACATGGTCATAATCCCACTTCATTCCACACTTGTAGCAAAAATTGGTCTCACATCTACATTCCAACAAATCAAGAATCAGCAACATAGATATATAAAAACATGCAGCTCCGATCAGAATCTATTCAATCATATAAGAGTTATTCTCGATAATAAATTCCTATTTGATTTGTTATTAATCGTGATTCAACAACATGATTGGTTAAGAGTGTAATTTTTGGTTAAAAAAATAATATAAAAAGAAATTAGCAAATAATGCAAGGAAAAAAATATATATAGAGTAGAAAATTGGTATTTGAATGAGAAAGAGAGAAAATAAAGATGAAGAAAAAGAAGAAAAAAATTGATAAAAAAAAAAAACACCATTAATAATATGTGAATATTACAAATTATGACATTTATATTCCAGTAAATACATATTATGTATGATGTTAAATAATATATATAGCATATTTTACTTTAAATTATATCATATTGAATAATCAAGTATTGATCATCATTCATATCTTTGTTTGACTAATAGATTATTGGAATAAGATCCAAAGTTATGAAATTTTGATTTCGAATCGAATTTAGATAAATAAATAAAAACCTGATGTACTGAGAGTTGTACTAATATTGTACCTGCATGCATATTAAGAAAGAGAGTGGGCTAACCTGCAATGAATAATTCTACAACCTTTAGCACGTTCAACACAATGTTTGCACGCGGGACATCTCATCCACTTCTCCCTCTTCTCAACCACCCCAAACTCCATATCACTACTACTATATTCACATTCATAGTCTGCATGCCACGGTTGCTTGCACTGGAAGCAAAACAGCCTCTTGCAATGGGGACACTTGGATCTCCTCACAAGATCCCCTACTCCACACTCAGTCACAACCAAAGCCAAGCAATCCCGGTAGGGACAGTAACATGTATCCAACTCTAGAACAGCTAAGTTGCAGAGCTTGTCGCACCACTTGTCGAAAAGTGGTGCCGGGATGATGTGCCTGCATGAGAGAGGATCCAACAGCTGATCACACCTAGGACATCTGATTTTGCCTCGATTGTATTCTTCAATGCTCACTTTGATATGCTTGGCTATGCAATCATTGCAGAATGAACAAGGACATGTACAATCGTTTTCAAACTTGTTGGTTGATGTCGCGAACATGGTTTCACAACATATGCCGCAACAGAATGCTTCCTCTTCATCCTTCAATTTGTGTTTTGAAAAATTAAACATCTGTACACAATTCATTACATGGTAATTATATTCATACAAGGATATTCAAACATCAATGTTACAAAATAAAAATTTAGAATTACTAAAATCCCCATATTGGATCAATGCTTTCGGTTTTAGTAACGTAAGGGCTCTTCAGGGTTCGGTGGTACCATAGACTCGACCAATATATATATACATACATTCTAATGGTCATATGTTAAGGAAACTATTATTGCAAGTTGTAGGCCACTCAGTCCTCTTTCCTTTTTTTTCTTTTTTTATTTTTTATTTTCACTTTTGGGAAGTATATTTCCTATTCTTTTTTCCTTTTTTTGTTCAGGTAGAAGAAATATGAGTAGGCTTCAGTGCCCTTGGTCTTCTTTCTAATTATTATTTACTTGCTTAAAACGTCTATTATTAATTTCCTTTTTTTTTTTCTATATAAGAATAATATTGTAATATAAATTAAGGTAAAGATGCTCGTGATACTTTTTAGAGAATTTTAGTAAAACTACTAATTTTTATTATAAACGCTTCCATATTAGTTCTAGACATGTACCCTTTTTTTATTTTGTAATTATATAAATCTATTTTAATTAAATATTTATAGCCAATTTTAATTTGGTCTAAAACGTTTTTAAAAAATAAAATAAAATTGAAAACCAAATACAAATATTAAACATGTTTAAATAAATTAAAGAAAAAAATGTTTGTTTTTGAAAAACAAAATTTTCAAAAAAGTTTGAGCTTGATAAGACTTGTTTTAAATTGAAGAGTGGCTTTTAATGAGAGAGTATTATTACTACGTGAACGTGACCATGTGTATCCCTTTCTCACTATCAAAATTTTCCGACGATAATTAGTTGTAGTCTCCTCCCTGCAAGAAGTTTCTCAGATTCAACGATGAGTAGAGACTCAACCAATCTTTGGGCAATTGTTGATTTACATATATTGTCTGATCTTTTGTATTCCATGGGTCCTTTTTGGTCATTTCATTATTTCTGTTATTTTAAATTTTTTTTTAGTTTTATTGTAAGGGTATTTTTGTAATCTCATTCCTCAAATTGATAGAATGGGACTCATTTGCACTTTATCCACTTGAAAATTGAGATGCCGACTGTTGCCGCCTTAGTTCAGTTTTCATTGCTCTTTATCTACAGATTACACACACACACACACACATAAAAGGCACACGGTAACATATGTCCTGAATTCGAAGAAGAAAAAGAAAAGTATGCAATATTCAGATGGAAGACAAAACTCAAGCAGATAAGAGCTCCTGCAAAAAAGTCCATGCTTCATCTACCATCTTGCCTTCAGTCGTGTGCTAATTGTGCTAATGTCCGAATCAATAATAATTTTCCCTGCTTATGGGAAGTGTTTGAACTAAGCCACATAAAGTGGGAGCGAGAATGAATTTGAGAGTGGGAGCGGCACCCGTTAAGAAAGATTGTGTTACTTAAGTTTAAACTTGATGATGGCATGAAAAAATTAAAATTATGGTAGTCAATTTAAGCCTAATGGTTTCCCTAATGTGCTTCAAAAGATTGAGCTATTGGGGGAGATGATCTACCCTCGAAAGCTCTGGCATTCCTTGCTAGCCAAATGAAGAAGGAAATGCTGAAAGAAGAAAATATGTATTGGGCATAGGGGCATTGGAAGAATAGACCACTACAACAAACTAGACGTTTTGCCACGAAATAAAAATAATCTAGTGAATTATAAGCTGGTCATGAAAATATATAACAGGTTTGTTAACCATAATACATATATCTAAATTATATTTACAGGCCAACTTATGGAGAGTGCTTATTAGCCAATTCAAAATCATATTAATATAAGTCCACTTTGATAAGTACAGTGTTTATTTCAGTTAATTAAAGTAACTATGAGGGTTAGATTAAGATATATGCTTGCCCATTGGGATCCTCTTCATCCCAAACAAAATAAATAAATAAATAGAATAAAGCTTAAAATCACAAAAACCCCTTGAATTTACGTTGGATAACTCCCTAACAAACATTATCCTCTTTGAATATATATATATATGCATACAAATTTATTTATTCTCCGTTTGATAGGGAAGGAAGGAAGAGAGGCGGAAGGAAAATAGGACTGAACGAACAAACTAAATTCATTTGTTAGAGAGAAGGCAAGGAGAGGAGAGAAAAGCATATGGATGAGTCATCCTTCCTCCATCACAATTTTTCATCCCCCAAATATAGATGAAAGATGTCAAGGGAAAAAAGCAAATCTATTATAAAAGTTTTTAAATTGCAAAACTTTCCTTATAATTAACATTCTCTTTTTTTCCTATACTAACAAACAAAATAAGCTATTTTCTCGTTCTCTTCTCTTCCATCCAACCAAATAAAATGAGGAAAGTACACAATCTCTTCTATAGGAATGTCTCGTTCATATCTTCTTCTTTTCCTTCCATCCAATTTTCTTCCTTCTCACCAAACGGAGTATTAATGTGTAATTGTCATTACATTAGACACTAGTATTAATCATGTCACATATATCAGCATGCAATAACTACAGTCTTGGTAATTCCAGATATTCAAAATGGATGGAGAGAGATAGAGAGTAGTGAATGAGAAGGAGCAAGAATATATGACTTATTTATCATATCGTATATGGGAATTTACAAACAGCTTCCATGTATAAGATAACAATAAAAAATATAAGTGAGACAACAAAACATGAGTACATCACAAAAGGAGAATTCCCGTTACATTCATTCAATTTTCAGTACCCCTGGCAAGAGAGACCAGCTATCCGAAATCAATCAAATTAATATATCAAAATCTTAAGGGTGAAATGGATGCCCTTAATTTTGCATAGTAACAAATACAGAGTTCAAATACTCAGGAAATAGAAAACAGATAAAGATTACAATTGGAAAACAAAAAACAAAACAAAAGAAACAATATCCTAATAAATTGGCTCCTCTATTACATACAACAAACACGAGAAGAACCTATAAATATAAAATGCGTACCCTTTTATTTTGCTCCACTCAACATAAAATCTAACAGAGACAATACTTAACGTCTCTGAGAAAGGGAAAGGCAATGATGTGTAAGGATGATAAGCATATATATATACACCAGCAAGCAATAGCAGTCTCACCTTTTCAAAGTTGAAGGTTCAAGGCTCTGCTAAAATTTTCCCATGAAGCTGAAGGCAAGTTAAAATACATGTAACCAGAAAATTTTAGGTTTAATATGAACAGAACAAAATTATTTCAATAATTCTTAGGACCAAAACAGCCAAACTCATTAAAAACAACTAAAAAGGTAAATCATCTTAATTTCTCCCTCATACAAGCAGTCCTGCTTTTCAGGCTTACTTGATCTCAACTTAGTATACAACAATCTGATTCCTTCCCTTCTCCGATATATATATATATATATATACACCAAGGACAAGCTAAATGGAAACCAGAAAAGGTAACACTACTTTTAGGTATTCTGAGAACGCATACTATAATGTAAAAATCGTAGTGATTGCTGTGGAGATCGATACATGCTTATGATTATTTGTATGCAAATTCTTGTCAATAACTCAATGTCTGATTAACATTTCTCTAGTCTAGTGGGAACGCGACTGAAAACTATGGAAGAGATCGATCTGCATGGAAAATGACGTAATATGCAAGAAATTTTAAATCGGAAAGAGCCAAAAGTAAATAGATGTGCTCTGACAGTCACCACATCACTGATTGAACATTAACTGGATGGAGATAGTCTATGGTATGACCCATGCTTTTTCAGCATTTCACCGGTTTGCGTGTTCTGGGTTTCTTTTTCTCGTTATGTAGTTTGCAGGAAGAAAAAAAAAAATGGCCAAGCTGCATGTTGATGCGATATTGCAATGAACAAATTAGGCTTAATAAAACAATGAATCAAAAACTGCATGTGTTGTTTTGAACCTAAAATCTAAAAATCGTTGAAAAAAAAAAAATTAGTGGAAGATCAAGAATAACAAATCTGTAAGATAGAAAACATTAAAAAGGCCACCCTAGTGCATGACGCCCCTGCTAGGATAGGACCTTACCTACATATTCAAAGAAGCTGTTTCAGTCAATGTTACTGTTGCGCCAAGGCCACCCTTAAAGAATCTATTTTACTGTTACTCCAAGGCCCAACCTCAAAGAATCTATCTGACTATTGCTCCAAGGCCCAAATGCAAAAATGAGAAAATGTTGCCCAAAGAAAACGAACTAAGCACCATATTTTGCTTTCTTCACCTATCAAATAAAAGTTGCTTATATACAATATAGTAATATACAACTCAAATGTTATCCTAATGATAATACCAGGGTCCCTGAAAACTTTGACCTTGAGGGAAGAGATCATCTTCTGAGAAAGAAATGAAACATTGTAGTCTAAGCACTTACGGGGGGATGCACCTCTATAACAGGTTAATTTAAAATTTTCCCATGAAGCTGAAGGCAAGTTAAAATACATGTAACCCGACAATTTTAGGTTTAATAGGAACAGAACAAATCATTTCAATAATTCTTAGGACCAAAACAGCAAAACTAATTAAAGACAACTAAAAAATAAGCAGTCCTGCTTTTCAGGCCTACATACAACTTATGTCAGGAAATAAAATGAAACATTTAAGTCTAAGCACCTTCTTTTAACATTGTCAGGAAATAAAATGCAGCCATCTAAAGCGGATTTTAAGGCCGTATAAAAACTACTATTTTTAAATGAAACTTTTAAGTCTAAGCACCTTCTTTTAACATTTGTCAGGAAATAAAATGCAGCCATCTAAAGCGGATTTTAAGGCCGTATAAAAACTACTATTTTTAAATGATCATAATAATGATAATAAAGAAAAGGAGTATCGGATATACCATTACAATGTGGGAGTTATTTGCGCGAAAAGAGAGAGAGAGAGAGAGAGAGAGAAAGTGTGAATAGGTGACATGGATGTGAGCAGCAGTAAAAAAAACCTCACTGTTGAGGTCACTACTCAGCATAACATTTGATCAAAATTTCCAATATTATTTACCCTCTAAGGCTCTGTCATGACTCTTGACTGAGATGCTGAAGAAAATTCTCCACACCATATCCCACAAATGAAAAGCATGTTACAAAATTTGCCATCAATTTCCATTCTATTGTAATTTCTCATATGCTTAAAAATAATTTCAAAAGCAATTAGGAATCGGGAAAAATAATAAAGGAAACTATTCCATTGTAATTTCTGTTCCATGTTGTTTTTCAGGAAAAAAAAAAAAAAAAAAAAAAAAAAAAAAAAAAAAGGGAAAATAATTTTCTCTGCAATTTCCCCATTTCCTTCACTATAGCTGCAATCAAAACAGATACTAAAGAAATAATTATATAGCAATTAAGGACAAATTAGATGGGGAACGGAAAAATTGAGATGTCTATCTAGCTACTCTATTGTTTGAAGTCAATCTCACAACCAGTGCCAAACCTACATATAGTATAGTCTAGAGGAGGAGCATTGTACCAAGCCAACCACGGTGAACTCAAAAAGAACAACAAACAGGGCATTCACACGAAAAATATCATTAATAAAACTAAATAATAACCACAACATACAAAAATCATTCGTTACAAATCCATGTCACGCACATAGTTCGACTGTAGAAGGTAGAAATGGGGGTTTTGAAATTCAAAAGTTACCTATCTTGCCCATGAAAGATCGCTTCGATCTGGATTCATCGGTTTCGGTCAAGTAAAGGAGGAGGAGGAAGAAGAGACGGAACCTCAACCATGGAAGTCGTCCATGGAAGTCGTCGTGTCGAGTCAGACAATGCCAAAGTTCTTTCTTCCATTACACTCCACCAAACGACATCGTGCGTGTCCTTTATTTTCATTTTTACTACTATCATCATTATTATTATTATTATTATTTAATACACGCACACACACATACTTGGGACACATGTACACGCACATAATTTTTTACACACACATAGTTACAAGTAACTACAGTAGTGACAAATTTGTTACGAGTCACACATAAACATGTAAATTGACTGGACCAAATTAAATAGGCCCAAACAAGACCTAACCCCTTCTCTTTCTCCTTTAAAAGACATGTGACGACGGTTGGAGCTCTGTATAAACAAACTATGTGAAACCCATATCCATGCCACTGAAAATCAGGGTTTCTTCCTCCTCACAATCCCTAATCAGGGTTTATGTCAAAAAATGTGTTGCTTATAAAATAACCAGCTCAATAAGCATCTTATGGAATTTTTCTTTAATTTATTCGATATTTGTTTTTCACATTAAATACAACTATTAGGCTATCTCCATTTTCTCCGAGTTTTCCTATATTTTTCTATTATAGATTATAAATATTATAAACGAATATTTTGATCAATGCTTGATATTAGGTGAATTGTTATTTGCTTATGATCATTATCTAGGACTATATATTCTCTTTTAATACCTAGTGAGAGGTTGGGATTAATCACAAAAAAACCACTTTGTGAGGAATCTGGAATTCGGAATTCCGAATTCGTTTCTCGCTCCATAATTTATATTTCAATTATTTATAATTTGAATACTGCTATCTATAAATAATTTACACATTCTCCAGAGCCTTCCTCTCTCTCCAGTGATGTTTCTCTCTCCCGTGCCCATTTCTCTCTCTCTTCAGTGCTCATTCCTCTCTCCTCAGTGATAAACACTCTCTCTCTCCACTCCCTCTCTCTCCATGTAAGTCGATTTTCCTTGCTAAATGTTATCGTTAATTTTGATTTTGTGTGTACGTTAATTTTTTTTAATTTGTTGTTTTGTGTTTGATCATCATATAAGGTTTTGTGTACTGTGTACTATGTTCATTTTTTCATTTTTTTTACTTCTTCTTTTCTCGTTTGATCTTCATAAGGTTTTTATTGTTGTTCAAGCGATTGTTAGTTCCATATATAGAAGCAAATTTCATGTAAGGTTTTATGTGAAGCTTTGTTCGATATATATATATATATATATTGTAGTTCCATGGAAGTAAATTTCGTATTAACTCCGTTCGAATTTTGTGTTTCTAATTGTTTTTCGCCATTTGTGCGATTTGTTCTGTTCGATCTTTGGCCTTCGTTGTTGGATATCAATTATATTTGAATTTTTAGGTATGGTAAACTCTTATAGATGTGGTTTTTTGGTTCTAAAATGTATAGATCTGCTGAAACTTTTTGAGTATTTCTCAGCAATAATCATAGTTTCTATACATGTTTTATTTATTATACCCATTATAGCATAGTCTACCAGTAGAGACTATGAGAAGAGGAAGTTACCTCATTATAGCTTGTAGTGCCTTCAGTTCTTCCATAGCTCTTCATTGTTGATCTCTAACAACTTCAATTATTAAAGATATGAATGCTTTTGTAGCATAATATTAAAGTTATACTGCTCTAGCTTAAGCTTTTGAGCGACATGCATGCATATGGTTTTTAAACTTATATAGATAGTTTTTGTTCCAGTTTTCATTAGGGTTAATGTTCATTGGTTTTTGCTAGTATAGTCGAAATCTTAGTTACTGCAATTATTTGCCTAAGCCCATTTTAGAGCTAATCTGGCAGAGACATATCAACAGCCTTAAATATTTTTTACCATGTTCTCTTCAACTGGTAGTGAATTGACTTATGTTTTACAACTTGCCTTTGCTTTGATGTAAAATTGAAAGCACAGCATTTTCAGCCATTGTCTTGGTCATCATGCAGGGCTATGAACATGTTCGCTTGTGTGATCTTACTCGTTTGTGCAGCTTCAATGGCAGCCTCAGTGGCGCTATCCGCAGTCTTCCTTGCAGCTGACACCTCAGCAGAGTTCAATGCAACTTTAAACAACCCAGGTCCCACAATTTTAGGGTTCTTGGTTATGTTTATTCATGCCCATGCCATTGGAACCTGGTTCCACAATGTTCGAATTCAAAATGGGATGTGCATGATGTTTATTGCCTTCTCTCTACAAGCTTTGTCTTTCCATCTAGTCACTGCACACATCGCGTTGACTATTGGCACTGTTTTGCACCATCCACCTCCAGCAAGAAGAGGTTATGAAGAGGTTATTGCCACCTGCAGGCAGATATGCCTTGCCTGTGCTGTGAGTTTGCAAAGTGGGAGTGGGGCTGGCTTTTCAATGGAAAGGGGGAGGGGGTGTGTTTATCCTTGGTATACCTTGTTTTGTGTCCATCACAATTCTAGCCTTCAAAGTCCACTCCCTGCACCTATTTTTGAGGGGGGACTTTTTCTAGAGCTGAGTAGTTAGTATATAAAAAGGATATAATATAGAAGATAGAAAAATTTAAATAGCAATTGCTTGGTAGTTGGAATTGTCAGGCCTTTGTGTTTTTGGATTATCATGACATGTAGTAATCTTTACATCATGAGAAAAAAGGAAGCAGACCAGACCTCTATATTGCTAGTGGTAGAGCTGATCCTACTTTGTTGGGATGATAAAAGAGAGAATGCAGAGGCAGGCCTTACTTTGTTGGTGAGGGGAGTGGCTATGCAACTAGTTTTGATTTTTTTCTCTTGATGTTTAAAATGAAAATCATGCAGTTTTAGATTGAGAATGGCTATTGAAGGCACTTGTGTAGAAAATCCTTCTTAATAACAGATTTTGAAAGAGCCTTGCTGCTTATGTGTTCTTTTTCTTCTCTCTACCCTCTCATGTTTGCTCTTTTTTCCTTTTTTTTATATTTCTTTTTTCTTTTTATGTAAGCTATTTTATTGCCTTATCAACCAGCTTCTACAACATGTCGCATAAGCCTCCCATGCTGTCACCATTTTTATATTTTAATCTCGGTCAACATAAAAAAATAATAATAATAAAATAAAATAATCTATGACTTAGTTTGGTTAGAAATAGTAAGAAAGGAAAAGAAATAAAATAATAATAAAAAAAAAAAATTCGAACTTTTTAAGAATTTGGTTGCCAAGAAAAGAAATTTTTTGTGGAAAAGTAATTTTCCGTAACCACCCAACTTTCCCACAAAAGTTTTCTACAAAAATTACAACAAATTTTGATTTTCAAGAGAAAACTATATGAATTTTTAATTATACTTATGAGTAGAAACATCTATTACTATTTATTTTCTTATTTTATATATATGAGAATGATATGTAATACAACTAAGGTAAACAATTTTTGGTGGTGACTAGTCCCGATTCAAAGAGTTATTGGTGATGGCTGATCAGCCTGATCTTCTTTGATAAGGAAATAACAGAATTTAAAAATAAAAAAATAAAAAAGGAAATAACATACTTAAGTGAATAATAATGGGAAAATATAGATTTATAATAATATTATATTATAACAAAAGTACTAAAGATGCTTTGAAAAGTAAAAAATTTAGAAAAAAATTGTTCAGTGATATTTGTTAGTGATTTTTAGTAAAACTACTATTATTATAATAATAATTATTATTATTTAAGTAAGTATGTGTAATAAAGAAGCAAAAAGGATAATTACTATAGATACGGGGTATACCCCATGGCCCAGTCAACACCATTAGCCTAAACGGTAACCTATGACAAGGCCCAAAATGCCCAAAATCAAAGACACAGGCCCAATCTGCCAATCAACTAGTCTATGGCGGGAACTATCAACAAACACGTAAAATTAGTCCATGGCGGGACCTGTCAACAAACATGTAAAACTAGTCCATGGCTACATAATGACACATCTAGTTATCTACTTTGAGAATAATTTTGTGTGCATTCTTAATTAGCTTGTGAGCACAACATAGATATTTATGAGGCACTCATATTAGTCGTTTTTTTTTTTTGATGTTATAACTTTTTAATTACAGTGTTTCCTTTTAAAATTATATCATTGTGGCTTTAAATTTAAATGTGTATGTTACCAAATTGAAAATTTTTTTGAAAATTCAAACGGTAATTTTAAAAATATATATATATATTTTTGTTTTGACTTCAAATGGTATATAACTAATTTGGACATTTAAAAAAAAAAAATAGAATATTAATATAAGAAAGGGACAATATATTTAATATGATGATGATTTAAAAAGAGAGGTTAACCATTAATAGTTCCTCCCTTGCTTCAAAACATTATAGCATATGATAAACAACGTGTTGATTGATAAAGAAGAGTTATTATTAATAATTTAAATTTGTATATGTGTCAGCTCAATCGAATCGATTGTAAGTAGCACGATTGTTGAACCATCTAGCAAGCCCATTCCAATTGAGACCAGAACCATGGCTTCCACCAAAGGCAATCAATCCCAGTAGGCCCAAAACAGATAACCGAACAACCCAAACTTCTTCGACGACCATGACATCACCGCCTCTTCTCCGTGGAATCCTTGCTTGCCGTCAGTCCCGCCGCTCCTTGAATTTATGTTTTGTCAGCGCACCGCCGCAGCTTCACCACCGAATAGTCTGTGTCGCCGCCGCCGTTGCCAGAACAGAGCAATCCAGTAGCTCCATCGCACGACGTCGCTGCTCCGATCGTCCCCACCGAGCGCTGTAACATAGAAATCAAAACCCGGGCGTTGTTGTTGACTCCTCCGAATTCTCGGGTTGCGGCACGCGCCGCCTCTTCCGTCGTGTAGAAGCTGAAGCGGGTTTTTTTGCCCCTACGCCGGTGCTGTGATCTCTGATTTCGGTTGCGTAACGACCCCAAGGCCTCTTCCTGATGACTCCGTAAGGACTGTAACGCGATTCCTTGCTATTAAATCTGTCTTCGCCTCCATTAACGGCGGTGTTCGGTTTCTCCTTTGGGCCGTTTCCAAATACCTTATGAAAACAATCCGTTTGAAGGTGCAAGAACGATCAATGACGGGTGAAGGTGCATGAATGATCAATGACGGGCCAAACCGAATTTAATCTTCAGAGAGCTTCTACTTCTAGACCTTGAGAGCTCCGGCAAAACCAAGAAGCTTCAACTGTGAACATTGACACAAAATATAATATTCTGACGGGTAAAATGCAAGAAACCCCGAACTATTGGCATGTAACCCCAGGTCACCGGAAAAGACAAAAGACCATTTTACCCTCGCTACAAAACGGCTGCTGACATGAAATTGAGCATCCAATGAGAGTGCGACAACACACCAACAGATAAGTTTACGTACCCCACCAATTGTGAACAACACGTGGCAAAAGAACCCTCCTCCTTCTTCCTCATTCATGCCCTAACTGAACAAAGACCAAATATCTGTGCACTATTTTTTCTTTTTTTAGGTTTCTTGCAATATCTTATAAATTTTTGAAGGATTAGTTTTGCTTTTTTTATAGATATAATAAAATTAGCTAGCAGTAAATTTTTAATTTTGTTTTTCTTAGCTTAATAGCAACAGTAAATTAGTGACTGCATTCGAATATATAGTTAAAATTGTATAGTTCATGCTAACATATCTTTTCTTACTATCTCAATCCTGTTAGTTGTTTTGTCTTCTCCTTCCCTTAGCATTACCTTCAATATGGATCACACTACTCTTCTAGTCTTTCTCGCTGGTTCATCTGTTGGTTTTCACTAAATGTGGCCTAAACTTATTAATCTAGTTCTCTCATTCTGTTTTGAGCAAGTGTTACTTCTATTGTCTCATGAATGTGTTAATTTTTTTTATTATTATATTTGTTCTTCTCTTGCCATTTGCCGAGCGTCAATTTCAACATTTGCATTGGATTAAGTCCCCTTTACGAATATGTTGTTTTTTAGGCAACCAACATTCTGTTTCATTTCTTATTAAATCCATTTTTACTGCTGCACATGCATCTCAGTCTTTTTTGCAGTTGGGCTACATTTATTTTATGCGTGTTAAGTTTTTTTAGTCATCCAATGAGTCGATCCCACGAGTAAGGCTGCCTTATTGAACCGACCTTCATATAAGTATAATAATTACTGTGATGCTTACGCATCACTGAGCAATGGTAGTAGACTAGTAATTGGAAAAGAAAGTTTTCTAATTTTACACATCTCTGCTTTACTTGGTCACAAGAAGGTTAACAATTTTTTGGTATTTTTAGGTCCTCACGGAGCCCAAAAATGCTCTTGGAAAACAGTACAAGAAAATGTTCCGCATGAACAATGTAAGCTTTTGATTTAGTGTATCTCCCGGCCAGGAAATACTGTACTCTTGAGCCTAACTTGAGCATGCTTATAGGACACGCTTGTGGTCAGTTGTTCTATAGTTCATGAAGTTGGGAGGCACCCAAGGGAGGAACTAGTAATGGGCTAACCTGGGCTATAGCCCAGGTCTAATTGAAAAAAAAAAAATTAGTACTATTGTTCCTATAAGCCCATATACTACTCTTTCTCTTCCTATCAGCCCAGCCCAATTCATAGTATTTCTATAAATAAAAAGAGT